CGAATGGGATGCCACGGATCCCTTCCCAGCCATCTATCGCTGCATGTGGTGCAGCTTTCCTCCCCCTGAAGCCCCTGGTGCCAACTACGAGGCAACAAGCAAGGATAAATCCGCCATGTTCTTGACAGGCCGAGACCGTGGCTGGATATTGACGTACGACAAATTCCCTGAACCGACAACAGAGCGTCACGCGTATACGGAAAAGGATGTCGAGGCATTTGCCGATAGTATTGCCGAGTTCCCCGTCAACGAGACTCTCAAGGTCAAGGACGTATTCGCGAAGCGCCAGACATGGGGCATGTCGGATCTAGGAGAAGGCGTCTTGAAGCATTGGTACTGGAAACGCATTGTTCTCGCTGGAGATTCGTGCCACAAGTACACTCCCAACGCTGGCCTAGGTCTGAATAATGGCATTCAAGATATCGTGGTCCTGTCCAACGAGTTGCATAAAGCTGTTCGAGCGCAACCTACGGGGAATATCAGCACAGAAGCCCTAGAGCAGATCTTCGAAACATACCAACAAGAAAGGCGAGAGCCAGCCATCAAGGATTGCAATCAGTCGGCCATGGTGACGAGGGTGCAGACCTGGGCCAGCTGGTTTTACTACCTTCTCAGCCGATTCATCTTTGCTCGGAACTTTGTTGGATCGCTGATGCGAAGGTATATTATCTCTCCAGCGATCTGTCAGGCATCGGTCTTCGACTTTATCCCAGCCAAGGATCTGCCGGCCGGAACGGTAAGCTGGGTACATCCGGTTCCAAGTATGAAGTCTGATTAAAGGGCCAGGGGGGTTTCAATGTTGGCATTAGCGCCCAAAAGTGAAGGTCGTGAGTGTGCATAGATAGTAAAGACAACTGGAACCGGCGTCAGCGAGGAGGATGGTTGGTGTGCGAGCGTGTTTGGATGTCATCGGGGAATGTGATGAAAGAATGGCGAAGTGTGGCTCTAGTTTCGGCGGTTTTAGAATATTGTGAGCGCCAGGCTCTGTATTAAGTGCTAAATTTAACGTCTATAGTTTTCCCTTCAGCGATGCAGTGGCCTCGGCGCCTTCTAATTTTCTCTCCAGCTGTCTCCAGTAGAGTGCCATAGGGAACGGATTATCTGATTCCGTCCAGAACCCTTCACCACTGATCACTCTCCGCTGGTAACTTCTTTCCTTCAAACCCCTCATCAAGGATTCGACATTTCTATGCTCCGCCGTCCGTTTCTCCCATTTCAGTTTAAGTGCGTTGAAATCATCCCCGACAAGTACTGGCGCTATTCTTTCCAAGGATTGGGCTTTCTCTGACTTCCTTTGTGCAGCAGCAAATAAGCTTCCGTACGCCTCAATAGTCAAAAATGGACTATAGATAAGAGTTTCCTCGTCGATCATTTGCCCTGCCTCCCCAAGATCGGAAGCCTCCGGAGTCCTAAGCACCTGAACTCCAAGAAAACTAAGAAAGTCCTCGTCCGTCTTCGTGAAACTAGGATCTTGGGCGTATAGAGGGATCCGGAACTGTCTTTCAGAAGTCGCTTGGATATGTGAGGCAATGGCCATAAAGATCGCAAGCTGTTTCATCCGACGTGATTGGTCTTTCGATGCGCCGAGACTGCCCAGACCCAGAGATATGATCTTGTTTATCCTTGGCCGGCTCTTGGCATGAAGCATCGCCTCGAATCTTGTGGCCAACGCCGACCGATAGAAAAGTTCTTTCGATTCGAGGTACAGAGCAAAGAGTTTCTCGGTTTGCTTCGATAAACCCCTTGCCTTTAAAGGGTGAGAAGAAGCAGAACCTGAAGAGTTGGAAGTGGGTTTTAAGCTCCGGCGTGAAGGTTTATGCGAGTCCAGTCTGGGCACGACGATTTGTTCAACTGTATGAATTGTGAGCTTTTTCCATATCCGGGCGATAGGGACCGGTTTATAGAAGCATACCCATGGCCTCCATTTCGTCTGCAGGTACAGAACAGAACTAAAGCAGATATTTGGCTGTGTTATTTATTTCGTAGCAACTATGGTGAAAAGCGCAAAGCCTCTAATAATGCAATTGAAATCTATTATTCTTAAATATCGACATTTGCTACCTGCCCACCATCCAGGAGATGTGAGGCTATATTATATTGTTTCTGGATGCCTTCATCAATTTGTCACCATGTAAGCCAAGCCAAGCCTTCTCCTTGATTCCGCACCAACTACCCTGTGCTCGCTGCTCGGGCTGGCATTGATTGCGCGCTTACCAATGACGTACCAGGCCAACTGACAAATTCCAGCGATTAGTCAAGGAGCGCAACAGTTTGAGTCGCACCACCCCTCCAAGGTCGTACCGCAAATGCATCCACTGAATTAATAATTCTCTCGTCGGCTCACCATGAGTCACTCCCGCTATTCCGCTATTGAAACAGGATTCGAAACCGGGAGGGATTCTGTTGCCGAAATTTATTTGCGGTGCATGCTATTCACCTGGACGCAGGCAGCCGGATGGCCGACAATGCCGACGTCCGGTGTGGGCATAATTTCCAGGCCAAATCTCGCACTTCGGGAACCACAACAGGCTCATTAATCTCCCAGCAATACAGATTATCTGCCCCAGATCAAGGGAAAAGAACGAGCCTCTTGCCCTCGCCGTCCTTGCTTTCTCACCCACTCTCCGCATTTGCCATAGGAACAGCCCATATACTGTCGGAGTTTTCCATCTTGCTAACCGCCGCAACCAGATCTTGAAGCTCGTTCCTCACGTCGCCGATGCTGCTCCAGCCCCCCAGCCTGGGCCAGAGTCTCCGTGTTTGAGCCCACGGGCCACCACAGCGCCCAGCCGCCCGCTAGCGCTCGTAGCCCCCAAAATGAAGACATTCCGACCCCTGCACCCTCCCTTCACACGGCACACCGCAGCGCCAGCCAGCTACTGCCGACGGGATCAAACAAGCCAGCGGCGTTAATCGGTCGGATCATCGTATGGGTAGCTTGATGAGGCCCGCCCGGTCAATGTTGGCGCGCTCGGCGAGAAACAGCGCCGCCTGGGAGGGGGGGATGGGGTACTGTCGTCGGCCTGGTCGACCCCCACACCATCCATGCTTGGGTCAAACGGGAGAGCCTGCTTGGCGGCGCTGTAGTGGCCTGGCGCATGCCATTCGTAGGGAACATCTAGCTTTTGAGTGGAAGAAAATCACCGGGAGCGCCACCGAGAGGCAAATGGGCGGGGGTTCGACGCAAGGAAAGTTTATGGCGATAAAGTTACCGGGCAAAAGGGAAAAAATCCCTACTGCCAGCTCGCTCAGTCGATCCTATATCATGTTAAAAAAAACTTAATCTCGCCATTGAGCAGGATGTACGCCCAACACACTGGGCGATCAGCCACATCCGCCCCACTCAGTTTCGACGTGAGGGAAGACCGAGCCGTCTGATGATTAATGACTCTTGAATGGGATAAAATTGTGAACCATCTAATGAAAACCCCACATTTGGTAGGAAGCCTGCAGCGGTTGTGGATCACAAGCCAGGGCATAGCAAGACGTGTTGGTGCTGACTTCAGAACGCGACCCAAAAAGGCGTATTGTTTTGACACCGCTTTGAGGGACCAGTGCATGATGTTTGCGAGGCGGAAAACGAATACATTTGCTACGAAGAATCTGCCCAGAGTTAAACAGCTTGAGCCCAAGACCGAGTGCCATCAAGTAAACAAAGTCACGTAGATTTCAGCTGGTACTGGGCACCGAGGTCGCGTTTCAACGGCGTGACGCAGCGATCGGCAACAAAAATACGAGGGAAACTAAACTTCTTCCTCACCTCAACGGCAAGCCGTTGAAAGCAATGAAAAAGACCAGTGTTCGCATCTCCTGGAGGCAGTGTAATACCAGGAACACAGTGGGAGAAATCATATGCACTTGCACAGAGATCCCCCCGGGGCCAAAGATTGAAAAAAAAGTGACTACTACACAAATCACTAAGAGATCTCTGCTCTGAAGAGGAAAGAGAGAAAATTCAAAGACCGAAGGCGTTCGACGCAGTTTTAACTGACCTTCAAAGCGGTGAGTGCACAAGTGATTGGCAGAATGAGGGGATCACGACGAGCCCCGCTCTCAGCCAATTCGAGGTTAGCTCAATTCGGCAGTTGAGGCAAATCATTCCGCTGGGCTGCGCTACCCGGAAGAGCAAAACAATTGCACTAAAAAAGCCGTTCAAACGACTACTCGTGTGAGCTTAATGCTGCTATCGTAGTATTTATTTTGCAAACCCCGTCTTATTTTAATTTTCTAGCTCCAGCTACAGCACGGCGACGTGTACGCCTTGGGCCAGGCACGTATTGGATTTCGGGCAGGAGCATTGCCTCCACCGCTGCAAAGTGCAATAGAATGTGACCGAATGTTTGTACGGCAAGTGCAACCACCAAACTTTGCAGGAGCCCCACCAGCAACACTATTGTGCACGTATAGTATTGAGCCCGGAACTACGATTTCCATCGTATGAGTCGCTATATTGAGCGGATGCGCAAACAATCAAACTTGAAACAACTCCGGCCCGAGCAGAAACTCGAGTCTATTTTGTGTTGCGGCGTTTCCATCGCCAGGTTGGCTGTAACGCGTGTTAGTCGGGCGTGTCAAAGTGCGTGTTTGTCACACAGCCGAAATGCTCATTTCAGGTGGCAGGCGCCACCCAATAGTAGATTACCACATCACGTATCCGGGGCGCTGCCTAGAGTCTGAGCAAGTGCAAATGTTTCTCTTTCATTAATTTAATCTGAGAACCGAAGCTTCCGTCTTTCCAACGCGGCCAACCAATTCAGAGGGTGTCTTCCGACGGGCCGTTGCAGGCGGGAAAAGGCATCGAATCATTTGTACCGGACGATCAAAGCGGCGTGCTACGTACACTTGGGCACTGCTATTTAGGCAGACCTGCGTCCGCGGTGGCCAGCCTCAACTTTCGTCCTTGCTTAAAGTCCTGGGAACCACCCATCATCTTAAGAGCCAGCACAACCCCGATCGTACACATCTATCAACTTCATCCGCGACTTGGGATCATAGGCGCCATGGGTGATCAGATGCATGACGAAGAAGAACACGAGACGTACAGTCCGGTTTTCAGCTACTCCAGAGCTACGCCGGATTCAGCGACAGTTGCCAACCTTCTGGTCTTCCCAAATCGGTAGGCCCATCCCCATCCTCTTGCCCGAGGACGAGACTGACCCTTGTGACCACAGACACTTTACTGATGGATGGGAGACACATGCCGATATCCCATTGTATGACCATGCCCCAAGCAGACCACCACGCGCCATGGCTCAAATACGGGCCCTGCTCGAGGGCACAGCCCTACCCCCGGATGAGGCTTCACGGCTCTCGAACCTGCCCAAGCTTCCTGAGACACAGAAGCAGTGGAAAGATGCCTGCTCTGGGTGGATCGCCACCTATGATGTATTCTCCATCGAGAATGATCAACAAACGCGGACCACGTCCATCGAGGTCAAGCTGTCCAGGTTCGACGTGGAATTGTGCCTCCGTCAAGCCTTATGCGCAGATGAAGAGGAGTGGATCTGTGCATTTCCCCTTTCCATAAGTCCTAACTTCGAGATGTTCACCGTACTTCACAACCTCGTCTATGTGGACAAGGAAAGGCTCTTCCCGCAAGTCATTTCCTTGCACTGGACATCCGCTCAACGATGGAAGACCTGGACTAAGCTGAAGAGCGCTGGCGACAAGGAACTCACGGCGGATCGACCTGACATATACCGCTACCAGTTTACTTGGAGCCCAGACGGAAAATATCTACTGTTCCACGATCTTCAACTCCAGCCGCTCACCTGGGTTGAGAACGGAACTTGCGCCGTCGTCTTCGCTATAAGCAACCGGCCTGATGGTCAGAAGAGAGTTCGTGTGGTTAACCACTTCCCTTCGGTTTCACTCAGCACTGGAATCCATGACAGCCAGTTTCATCCCACTGAGGCACTGCTGCTTTTCCGAGACGAGCTGAAAACCTATGTCTGGCGGTTCTTAAAAGGTGAGCATCTTGTGTGTAAGGACTGGGGTGGTCATGTTTCTGACAACCGAATAGACTCGAGACCAATGGTCCTGGATTTGGACCGACCCGGAGGTCAGCTAGCGTCTCTAGTCGATCGAATATCGTTTAGTACCTGCGGAGGATATCTCGCAGTGTCACGCCTCAGAGCCGAATGGCCCGAGTTGATCGACCTCGGCGACTTCTTGAATATGTGCTTTAGTGATTCGCCATCTAGCCCAGGTGACGCCTCTACCGCTAGCTTTTCAAGCAATGACACCAGTGGGCCTGGGGTGTCATCTACTAGCTCTCTTGTTGATGCTCAAGGAGTTACTCTTCGCAACCCTCAAACGGGATTGGCTGCTAGCCTGGCTAACGTGCTGACATCACGAGTTTACTTGGTATCCAAAGACGATGATGGAGAGGTGACCGTGACGACCTGCGCTATCACTCAGGAGGGTGTCGAGCTTCGTCAGAATGTGGGCGGCATTGTAACAACAACACCCCTCCTCAATCTGCCGCCGTTTATCCCAAAGGGATACCTCGAGGTCCAGGTGACTGCACCAGACGTGGGCGACGACGAGGATGTCATATGCAAGATCGTCTTGAATGCGGGACCGAGAAAGGCCTTTCTCGGTAGCAGCTCTGTCATGGCTACAGCAAACTTGCCCATCGTCTTAAGAAGGGTAGCGGATGCTTTTCATGTAGTGCTGATCGGTTGAGTGGCTTGGTGTGCCACCTTTGTTTGAAATCGACACGAACGCTCGATTGATTTTGAAATGTGCTTCCTTTCATGGCTTTTGATTTCATGAAATGAGAAGAGAGAAAAAAGAGCAAAAAAGCAGCAAAAACAAATCTTCCAAAAAAAGCACAAGCAAATGGTTCAAGCAAAACCATAACGACAAAAAGCATCCAAACCCAAAAAACAAATACTCTTTTCAGGACTGCATACACAGAGTGCAGCCTCCCCAGCGCGCAGCGCAATTTTGGTCTCTGAAGTTCTTGCGATTGATTTATGGTTCGGTTTCAAAAAATCACAAAACAATCACCCAAAAAAATCCCCCCAAAAGTTGCCGGTCATGAGAACTAGGTTCAGGCATTTAATGCGGGACCTTAACCTCACCCGGGTGTTCTTTCTTGCTTCACGATTTTGATTTGGAATGTCTGAAAATGATGCCCGTCACCAGACGGCGCACAGTGCAATGTTGGTCTGGAATTTCGGCTGGAATTTTTTTTTATCTCTCGGGTTATAATTTATCAGGGTCCCTGGGTTCTTGATGGGCTTGGTATGAACCAGCGTCTGTGGTCGATCATCCTCAAGAACGATGCCCGGGAATGATGCTTCTCTACGGCGCAAATTATGCCACAGAATGAATCTAAGTAGAACAGCACGAGAATAATAAAAGTCTGTATTTCCTAGCATGCGCCATGACCCTCTCATAACCCCTATACAATATGTGATGTTCTGTTTTGAATCGCCGTCGTTGCTCAACAGCTTGCTAATTGATGATGTTTTATCCAGAAATCGTCCCCGCTAGAGGATCGGAACCACGCATGGCCGCATATCTATACATCTCCCATCACTCTTAGACGATGATTGCATTATCCACGATCTTTGTTGCTTCCAGCTTCGATTTTGGGTTGAGGGGGGCCTCGCTTCCGGTGCTGCTCGAGTGGAAATTGGTCATGCAAAGACTCGTCCCAAGACTTGTTTCAGCGTCGTGTGCAAATATAGACTCGAGAGCAATCGAATCAGGCGTCCTTTTCCTCCTACTGCATAGTTTCGATTTCGGCCACAATGATCCGCCGGGTTGTGCAGTGCCGCGGGGCTGGTTGGGGCAAAAGCTGGGCTTGATGCCATGTTTTCGCTTGGGAATGATAGGCCCAAGCATCGGGAGGCATACGCAGAGAATACCAAGGTTGACCTCGGCGGTGGAGAGGAAGTCCACCCAGACCATGGTATCCGTCAGTCTGGCCAGGTCAAGATTCTTGAGGGCAACGATCCGCACAACAGCGACACAGGAGACACTGCTCCTTATTGATTAGTACAGACATTAGTATGCGATCCTAAGAGATGAAACATACACTAAACCACCGGCGAAAACTCCTGTCAACCCGACTTTGACATTTCTCTTCGTCTTGAGTGCCCAAATGGTTGGGATGGGAAGCAAAAGAATTGCGACATCGGTGATGATATTGTACACACCGGTGCTAATAAAAGCAGTAGGCTGATCTCCACATTCACCAGGAGCGTCAAGAATGTAATTCTTTTTGAACGGACGGCAGAGGAAGAATAGCACAAGGACATTGGCGATACTCTAGACCGTGAGAATTCCGAGAACAATCTTCGTGGCAAGTCGCAGACTAGGGTTGACGAAAACTCGAAGATAGAAGAAAAGAACGCTCATTTTAATTAAGCTGATGCAAAAGGTATAAATAAGGGCATACGTTATCGTGAGCCGTAGAATAATGGGGAGGTTTGGGCGCGCTTCTTCGACGGGGTGACCAACTCCCAATGGGGCATCTGGATACAAAAGGTAGGTTAGCATCGAGTGCGGGAACACAAGGAAAGGTTGAGAGGAATTAAACGTCACAAAGTCCCTGTATTATTAGCATGGCGATGCCCAGAGGCGTGGCCAGCAGGATAAGATAGTCATCTACCCATAGATTTGCTGATGTCTTGAACCGTGAGTAGAGGCGAAGACAGACTACCGAGAGAGTGAAGAAAACAAGGACGCAATTAATAATTAGATGCGTTCTGACAATCGATATTATGGGTAGATCAATCACTCCTGCGGCGATCTGGAGTGTTGTGTTCCCTCGTGCGATATCATGAGCCTCAACGCCAGCGACAACACCCTATCACCAAAGGGCGGAGAAGTCAATACGCAACTCCACAATAATGATGGCAAGGCTGGGGAGGTGGAACTGGAACTGTACCGATATTTTATCCCATCGCTTCTCCATTTTGCGCGCATGGTGGTCTCGTGCTCGGTTCTGGAGAGGGACTCTCGGGAGTTGGTCGCTCTTGAACCGGACCCTGCTGGTGAGCGGAAGATTTGGTCGCCAGGCAAATAGTCGGACGGCTTCGCACACAGATCGCCTGGTAGCAAGGAAAGGTCGGGGTCAGCAATGAATTTGAATCTCTTCGAGCACAAAAAAGTGGTTTGGTCGATGGAAAAACAATCACATGGCGCCGAACAAAGGGGGCGCGGCTATGGGAGGACCGTTCCTTCCCGCCCTCCCGAGGAAACTTGCCCCTTACCTACCTGTAGCATGAGGCACAATCACATAATGGGGCAAACTGCATTTGACCCCTCAACATTTATCGATAAGTTGAATGGAATTGTCTTTATGCTTTGTGATTTCGTTCGGAGCCGCAGATGTTGTTCTTAGGCGTAGATCGAGATTTTTGATGCGGATCGGTCTTTCACTATTAGACCTTCGCTTCCCACGTCTCGATGCGCTGTAGCGTAAGTGAAAGCTCAGGAATGGTTGACTGCGGGGAGAGCTAGCGACGAGGTAGTCCCGAGGAGGTCGAGCGGAGAAATCAATCTGATGACCTGTCAAGATTGCTTGTCCATTGGAGGGACGAGCAATCTCTGTAGGCTCGGCATAGTAGGTAGGTGCGGGCATGTTGTTAAGTTACGGCTTAGCTCTGGATGTATCTTGTGGTAGGATAAGGGACTCTTATTTCATGGAGGGTTGCGCTGGGTTACATCTCGAAAGTCCCGAGGCATCTCCTCAGTCCAGTTGTACGCAACACACTGAAGTGCTATCAAACTGATCCAGAAATAGGAATTGATCGACATGCCATGCCTATTACGTACGTAAACCCAATTCGGTGGCGGGTGCCCTGCAGTGGCGGACATGATTCTGCTTGGAGTAATCCTCGCATCATGCTTGCGCTGACGCCGACAACGCCGATAACCTTGCGGCGAGCTCATAGCCTGAATCGTAACCAACCCCCACACCAACGTGATAGATGGCTTTTCATACTATATCCCATTTGCCCATGTACAAGGGCATGGGAAAGCATAAACGGATGGTGGCCCCGCTGTCGGGCATACTAGTACCATATGCCGACCAAACTACATGGATCACGCAGGCTGTCTGTGTATAAATAGGGGATGGGATGCCCCTGCGATTCCAAGCCTCGAACCAGGATCTAGCTGCCCGTCCTCTGTTGCCATCGTGCTCTATTCAAAACGGTTCATTCTGCATATCGGATAGAGGTGGTGTCGACAGCTTAGTGAGAAGCCCGGCCATTGCACACCCAAGCTATATATTGCACCCATTGCTATCCAAATGGCACCGTCGTATGACTACATCATCGTTGGAGGGGGGACATCTGGGCTTACGGTTGCGGCTCGCCTAACCGAGGACCCTGCCCTCAGTGTCTTGGTCATTGAGGCTGGTGACAACCATCGTGATGACCCTCTGATTAACACACCTGGGCTGATGGCCGGTACCTATGGCAACCCCAGGTATGATTGGGGTTTCCGCTCCGTTCCTCAGGTTAGATTCAGTTTCACTTGATGCCTTCCCCAGTATTCCAAGATCTGACCTGATGTAGAAAGAGCTCAACAACCGAGTCATCGCTCAGCCAAGAGGCAAGGGGCTGGGCGGCTCATCTGCCATCAACTTCTTGATGCTGGTCCACCCTTCGAGGAAGAGTCTAGACTCCTGGGAGGAACTTGGAAATGAAGGTTGGGGATTTGACTCCATGGCGCCGTACCTTCATAAATTTAATACCGTACATGAGCCGCCGCAAGCCGCGAAAGACGCCGTAGGCCTGTCCAACCATAATACATATGTTGGCAGCGAAGGCCCCGTCAGCGTCTCCTACTCAGAAGGATATGGTACGACGAATAAAGCTTGGATGGAATCATTCAAGAAGTTCGGCCTAGAAGTAGCCGGCGATATCAGAGCCGGCGGTGCCTTGGGGGCTTTCCAACAGCCGGGAACTATTGATCCAGAAACCAAGACCCGAAGCTATGCTCTCACGGCATACTACACCCACGAGATCGCCGGCCGAAAGAACCTGACCGTGGTGACTAACACTGTGGTGAAGAAGCTTCTTTTCGACACCTCTGGCGTCGAGCCTGTCGCGTAAGGCGTGATTACTGTGCCAAGCAACGGCTCAGGCCCTGAGACCGTCATCCATAGCAGCGAAGTCATCATCGCAGCAGGCTCTCTCATGAGCCCACAAATTCTCGAACTTTCCGGAATCGGGGACCGCTCTCTTCTTGAGAGTCATGATATACCTGTTATTGTTCACAACCCATCGGTGGGAGAGAACCTCCAAGACCATCCCATCGCTTGCCAAAGCTTTGAGGTGAACCCGGGCACACCCTCCAGCGATGTACTTCGAGATCCAGCAATCTTCCAGGCACTGCTGCAGCAGTACGCAACTTCAAACGGTGCTGGGCCGCTGGGCCAGTCCAATATTAGCGTTGCTCTCATGCCTCCCACAGATGCGTCAGGAGTAACATCATCCCAAGGACGCAAAGATTTATTCGATAGCAACGCTGAGCATCTGAAAGCGGACGACAGCAAAATCTTGCGGGCCATCTTGGAGAGTGGGGATGAGGCCACGGCAGAGTATGTCCTTTTCCCAGGGCAGGTCAACACTGTGCTTTCAGAGCCGAGCAGCATGGCCGACTATTTGATTCCCACAAGACCAGAAAACTATCTCACGATCATGACCTTGCTTAATCATCCCTTCTCACGAGGTAGCGTGCACATCAAGAGCTCTGATATTCATGACCTGCCAGTCTGGGATCCCAAGTTTGGCTCTAATCCTTTAGACATGGAGCTCAGTGCCCGCCATGTCCAATTTGTCGAGACCTTCATCAAAAGCGAACCATTCTCGGCTTTATTGAAGGTTGATGGCGCTCGGATCCCAAGCTTGAAAGCCGATACAGTTGAAGACGCCAAGGAAGTTGTTCGCCAGTCGCAAGTTAGTGACTTTCACCCCGCAGGAAGCTGCGGTATGAGGCCAAAAGACAAGGGAGGCGTCGTGGATAGCGAGCTACGAGTCTATGGTGTGAGGGGCGTCCGTGTTGTTGACGCGAGCATCTTTCCACTTGAACCTGCTGGCAACATTCAGAGTCTTGTGTACGCTGTTGCTGAAAAGGCTGCAGATTTAATCAAGCGAGAGCGACTGAAGGTCCATGAAGGAAGAGAAGAATTTTTGAATATTAAAGAAAGAGGAGAATGCTTCAATATTGAACAGGGAGCAGAATGTTTAAACATCAAGCTCTCTATCGTTGTTTAGAGGTATACTTACAAGGAAGAAGTATCGTTGCCTATAATAAATTGATGTTTTCAATATGCTCAAATAAGATCCATCTGGGAGAAAAGTTATCCTTACCTAGGGATGTGGCTCATGACCAACGGTGTCTCGTGTGCGTTCATTCGGGAACTGTCCCGGCGGATCCCTATTATGGGATTTTCAACCCTTTAACCGTTGAGTGCTTAGTACAGAGATCTGCCACCAGCTGGCTTCAGATGCTCGGGGGGTGGCCTCGAAGGATGCCATAGATATTCTTCACCGAACTGGATTCGACAGCTAAGAAGAGGGGAATGAATGGCCAATCTTGGAGGGTCAATTTGAACGGGCTATGTTGCTAGCTAGCTAAAGCCTTGAGATGACTGGATAAGCAGACCAGACATGACTGAGGATTTATGATGAAGGTTTGAAAGTAAATTCGAGTTCGGGGGAATCTTATTGGAATTTGAAAAGGGGCGCGACGGTTTGGTTCGTGGTGAGGGTTGGTAAAGCGAGGTCGTCCGCGATGCGTTCTGCAGACTTTATCGGAAGGTTTTCATAGAATTTGGTGGCCAAGAGTTGGAAGATTTCATCCACCGCTTTCGGTCCTGATTTCCACTGGTTTGGGAGTATGTTTTGACAACCCCCGCGCTTCCGTGACGAACTGAAATAGTTTGAGCACTCTCTCCTATCGTTGTCTCGGCAACTCCCTTCTCTTCATGTAGGCAACCCGGACTCCCAGGCTTATCATTCCAAGGATAAATATAACGCCCACTACCACACCAAAGATGATTGCCGATCCAACGTCTCTCTTGTATATTCCATTAGTCGATCGAGACAGGACGTCGTGGGTGAGCCAGATCGGGCGCTCAAGCGGAGCGGCGTACGTTGTCGAGATATGCAACACCAAAAGAGCGAGCCTTGATAGCGAAAAAAGGGAAATAAATGAGGTTTGTCGAATCATTTTCGGCCTTTCCGGAGAACTGATGCTGTTGTCAGGTTTTGGCTTTGTTCTTTTCGCTTCAGTACTTACATGGACTGTTTTATCCCTTTTATATGACTCTTCAGCCGTGCTTGTCCTATACCCTCAATGTTGCTAGTCTGCCTTGCATGGGGTTATCTATAATAAAATTTGACAATACCAGCATTGGTATGTATCGGGAGAAGGAATAGGGCCCCATCATGGTGCAATCAGTAAAGGGGTAAGAACATCGGCCCATGATAGGCAGCCTTCCATTCTTGGCAGTTTGCTCTATGCTGCCCATCGGGATTAGGCTATGATTAAAAGCGAAGGCCACGATAATGTAGCCACCTAGTTGGCGGCTTAAGCTGGGAAATTAAGGGACTGTGGATAACACGAGTGCTGAACTATCCTTGAGTTGAGGAACGGTCTTGCTAACTTGGCGAAGTGTAAGTGAGCCAAGACCTCGGAGTGATCTGTCTTCCTGGTCTCCAGACCTCCGGACCTCCACCAATGATACAATGATTTCACTCACCGAAAAAAGCCTTCCCGAGGCTGTTTTGCGGAGTAGGTGGGCAGCATTAATTCCAACCCTACCAGCCGGCCATAGCCACGCCGCAATGCAAGGATGACGTCCTCCGAAATCCCTGCTCCGCCACCGTGGTCTTGGCACTCTCCTTTATTGTTTGCTGCGGTAATTGCAAACAAACGAATTCAATGTTAACCACGCTGCAGTTCAAGCTACGTTTGCCAAACGCAAGTGGGCTCAGAAGAAGTTGACAGGGTCCAAGAAGTGTCCCCCTAGAAACCTGACGCCCGATATTCACGTCGTCAACAGGGATCGCGCTTTCTCCGCCCGACAGGGTTCGCAGGATTTGCATTTAACAAAGCCAATCTGTCGGTGGAATGCATGGATGTGGTAGGCGACAGATACAATGAGGGAATTAACTAGGATCGATCATCGAGGATAGTCGGAAAACAGTCGCAGAAGGATCGACATCCTGTGAGGAGAGGCTGCTTGAACATCGCATCTGCACTGCCTCCCAGACTCCGTAAATCTCAGCTCATGATCATTCAAACATGCTTCCTAGTGTGATAGGTAGATACCTTCAGTCCCCAGAGTTTGTATAGTCCCTGTCTTCGTAGGTTAGGGAATGTTTTTGTAATTCGTGATAAACGTGGTCCGGTAATGCCAAGGTGAAACTCTTGCCTGGGTGGCTGAAATTCGTGAGGCATGGCATGGCACGAGGCAAAATCAAGATTTCAGATTACCATCGTACGTGGAAGAGATACCTCGATGCTATCTGCCTATGCCTAGTGCCTTCCCAGTCGCGGTTGCGACTTACGTGCGTGTCTGCCCTGCGGTATGCCTCAGGCATTGGGCTGTCAGTGTGCAACTCACACCAGACCCGAGGTACACGGCTTCCTCTTGCATTTCGTCATTAATCCAACTTTGGAATACATTACACTCGTCACTTGTACCAGCACAAGCTTGCTTTCACTCTCTCCTTACTTACCACGCCTCAGCTATCAAAATCGGCGGGCCCGTAAAGTCGTATCCTCGAGCGGACGTTGCAAGCGAGCAAGATCGAGATTTTCTCAACGACATCACAGAATGCCAATTATCCTCGCGCTCATTCTACATGTTCAAAGTCTCTACTCAGCCGTGGATCATACCAAGCTGTTGGTTCTCCGGAAGCGGAATCTTTATCGTTCAAGTTATACGTTGAGTACTTGATTGGCTTACAGACTCTATCGAACCATATTACCCCTTAAATGCCGCTTCTAATTTAGATGATCAGAACTACCTAGATTTATCCAGAAATCGACCTACACATCACGGTTTGTCTCAAAGACCACGGACGATACACTAAACGGCCGCGGCCTGCACAGAGAGGAAATCGAAAAAGAAAATAATGACCGGTCCGTTCGAACTTATCGTAAAATCCGAGCATGCCACCGCTGCCATTAAGCATGTTCAAGGAAATTCACGAACCGACCCCCTCCAAACTCCTCCGAGAGAGCCTCTGCGCGCTTCCGCCGCACTTTACGGACAACCTCGTCGCATAACGCTAGAAGCCTTTGCGTCTCTTCTTGATGAATGTCTTTCAATGCTCCGTTGAGCCATATCAACGCTGCATCGACAAGATGAACATCTTGTTGTATGCTCTCGTGTTGTGGATAAAAGAGGTTGTTGGTTGTCAACAGCACCATGGATGATGTGTAGGAGCACGAGGTCATCCTTCTCGACGTCAGTACCGTGTCATTCATCGAGTTAAGAAGCAACCTACCAGCTGAACCATGCCTCACTTGACCAAGTCTCTGAAAACAAAAGAGCATATGCTCGGGCTTGGCGAACAAGGGCCTCCCATTTGGGTGGGAGCTGCAAGGTCTCGGTGCCCCTTCCATGGTCACGCAGACCCTTTAACCACTGCTTGTCCCATGCGTGAGCCCGGTTGATATGGGTTATGCAAGCCAGGCTAGCTGCATGCAGGACGCAAAAGAAGCCAGCCATGGCAGGGTTGTTGCTCGTATTTGAGGTGACGACATCGGCGAGGAATTCTGGTGGTATAGAATCTTGCCATTTCTCCAGAGCAGTGGCGATACTCTCCATTGCAAGAGATCTCTCCTCTGGGCTGCGTTTCAGAGATCGTGTCGAGTACAGAAAGTCATACACGCCACCTTCAATATTCGCCAGATGCACGCGCATCAGGAAGTAGTTCATCTTGGCGTTCCCGTTTGCTGTCACGATAACGCCGGCAGCGTCGCCCTGGTTGTCACCATCTAGCGGTATAGCAGAAGGCAAGTCTAGATCAACATCATCATCGAGTTGAAGCGAAGGTTGCCCAGCACGCAGGCTTAGGTCCTTATCGAGAATGTATGCTAGCCAAAAGACGCGAGCATGCTGTATCCTGTCCACAGGGGCTAGATGCGCCGACCCGGCACGGTTGTGTAGGCTGATCTTGTGCGCAAGACGGATTGTGGCTGATATCAAGATCAAAGCGGGGGTAACATCATGCGCCGTCTGAAGCACCATTATCATACCTACTAGGACTTGGATGTTGAGGAGTTTGATCTGGCCCAACATGACGGTTGAGACAACCGACTGTGCTTGATTGAGATATTTGTCGATGAAATGACGTCGAGGCCGGGAACTTCCACATGGGTGGCGAGTTGCCTCGGGCATATGCTGGCAAGCCAAGGCTAACACAACGTTGATGGCCGCCCAGGCTACGGGATCACGTTGTTGGGGTAGAGTTGCATAGCACTCCCCAAATAAGCGCAAGAGCGCATCGTCATTGAAGAGGGGAAGAACCGAGTTGAAATTTGTGAGGAATACGCCCAGTAGAGACATAGCTTGCTCCAATGGAGGTAGCCCCATGGGGGTCGTGCTCTCGTAATCATCAGCAGGTTCATATTCGACAGGGGCAACTCCAACGTCCACCGTCGCTATGTTCTGTCCAGAGCTCAGGGGGGCAGCCTGCTCCTTGTTCTGTTGCATTGTGTGTTGATCCTATAGTTAAGCGTGTTAGTATTACACCAAATATGGATACTTGGAAAGATAGACATACAAGCTGCTCCCTCAGATGCTGTATCTCAGATCTTAGAAGTTTGATTTCGTCCACATCGGCGGCATTCCTATTGCGTTGTGACTTGGGTTTCGACCTGCGACTTGGAGCTGTATGCTTGCATTCGGCATCATAGGCAATGCAGTTTGAGCAGCGCGGTTTCTGCCCGTCGCACTTGATCTTGCGATTGTAGCAAAGATCGCAGGACTGTTGCTTGGTCGCTTAGTAATTGAGGAACTGAGGGCTGCGCGGAGGGATTTGGCCGTTTTCACCTTTCTGGGGAGACTGTTTGTTTCCATTATGGTTCCGAGACCCACAGGATTTGGAAAAAGTAATATCAGGGCCGTATTCCTGAAGATGGATACGGAATGAGGTTCAATGTGAAGTTATGGAGGTGGCTGATATTTGATGCCTCCATGGAAGGGAGGTGGTGGCCACTTGGATCCGGAAAGGGAATAGCGCCAGGAGCCTCCGCG